TATATATATATATATATATATTGTTTGTTTTCTTTACTTTGCTAATAATGCCAAATGACCCTAAAACTAGACCTGCTAGTTGGTTAAAGGGCTGTACAGTTGAAAGAAAGTATCTTGAGCTATGTGCTGTTATACTATTATTAGGGCATGGTTAATCAGAATGTTGGACTATCTATGTTCTAAAAAATTGCATAAATTCAGAATGCAGAAAAAGTTCACATGTAATGAAATTTATTTTTTTCTGTTGATGTACTTTTTTAAAATGTCATTCATTCATTTTTTTAAATTCGCCATTGAAATTTTCCAAGTTTTGATGTCCGGAATCTGATAATTAAACTAGGTCAAGTCCTAGTAGTACTGCAGTAAAAGAAAAACAACTTATTTCAAGAAAACTTCTTGCTTTATCCTCTTTATTTAAACCTAAGAACGTATAACTGGTAACTGAGCATAGGTAGTAGCATCAATTATAATGCTACTGAACATGTAATATTGAAGTTTTTGTAACAAAATAATAACTGTAAAGTTTTTATTGCTGACTAAATTCTTATTGAGATTAAGTGTTTTTGCATTGTAGACAAAACTTGTGTGTATATATTTTTTTTCTTTTTAGGAATTTTCAGATGTGTTAGAATTCAGGAAACATCAGTATGAACATACCTATAAGTTTAAATGTGACCAGTGTGGGTCTAGATTTCGTGATGAAGACTCCGTTGAACTCCATGTTTGTCAACCTCAAGATGTGTGTTGTAAAATCTGTGATGAAGTCTTTCCTAGTTTTGTTAGTTTACAACAACATCTGACCATTCATGGTGATCTAATTTTTAGGGTGAGTGTCTGAATAAGTTAAAAAAGAAATTTGAAGGAACAAATATTTTAAGTAATATCTGAAAAGATACATAAGGTTTTATTGTGATATAGATTTTGTATAACAACATTATCTCACTAGTATGAAATAATTATGTGTTGTTAGTACTCTTGCCAATCCTCCGGTGGGACAGTGGTAAGCCTACAGATTTGTAATGCTAAGATTTGTGGTTCAGTTCCCCTTAGTGGATAGAGCAGACAGCCTGAAGTGGCTTTTCTTTAAGAAAATACACATACTCTGGCAGGTCAAAGTTCACACGTCATGACATTTCAGAGAGTTACATTAAAAAATTAATTGAAGTACTTTACTATCACTGGCTTTGAAGAGACTTGGCATCAAAAGGTAGTTAATAAATCCAATTTTAATATTATATAACTTTTCAATTTTTAATTTTATAAGGAAATATTTAAAAAAATCGTCAATCTCCCTTAGTATGAGAATTGTGACATTTGTTCTCTAGGTCTTCCCTCTTTTCTAATTTATTTACCACCCCTTCGAGAAGTACAAAATTTAACTTAAATTACTCATTGTAATATAGGTATTATTTGAGTGAAGCATAATTGTTATAGCTCTCAACCTTATTTGTCTATGGACCCATAAACTAGTAAATCAGACCCATTTGCTATACCCACCTGTCACATGTTATCTTTTAAAAATTACAAATAACTGCTATACCCACCTGTCACATGTTATCTTTTAAAGATTACCAATACTTCTCTGATGTTTTACACTATATTATTTATAACCAATAGAAAGCCAAAGTTTCAATCTGTTGAAGGACATATTATGTTTTCTGTACATGGTATTGTCTATTTCTTTGCTCTGTTTCAAATTTGTTTTCACAGGAATCACATCAATGAGTTAAGCTAAATTTTTAATGGCTCTTATCATATAGTTAGAAATCCAGAAATATTATGATAGTTATAGGAAACTATTTGCTTTTTCGCACATTACTATTCTGTTTTCTTAGGTGAAGTATTTAATTGAATAAAAAAAAATATTTAGTGTAGTAGTACCATTAGTATAAAAAAGTAGGGTTACGTTTCATCGACAGTTGAGAGCAAAAGAAAGATCCCAGGTTGTACTATATTTCTTGTTTTTCATGTGTATTCTTTATTTATTATTATAAAAGTAACTAATATGTAAAAATTAGAAACTTATCAGGTTATCTAAGGTAATGTGAGCTACATGTTCACAGAGTGATTTAAAACTTGTGTGGCAACATTATTAGTTAGACATGGTTCAAAGGGATATAAAACAATAACATTTTTAGTAGAAACAGATGTATATTGTTACAAGCTTTAAGCTACTTAGGGTAAATGTAGCTTCAAGTTTCAAGACGCAATCCTTCTAGAAAGAAGAAAGGGTAATTTAGATTTATATAATTTTTTCTATGGTGGTTAAGAGGTTGGTCACATTAACCAAATGCATTTAGAGTTAGGGTGGGGAAAATAACAGGTGAAATATAAAGTTTTACTGATAAAACAACATTTGTTATTTATTTAGGAGGTTTTAAAGATTATTCAAATGAAATCTGTCAGTTTTCAGATGAAGAAAAGTATTTTTAATCCTAACGTGAAAATCACTTTGCACTTGTAACAGTCGACACTTTGACTTCAAATATTTATGGAGAAATTTTGTAATGTTTACTGGAATTTGGAATTTCATGAAGATATACAAAACATGTTAAAAGTTATAGTATGGAAACTATGATGGTTACGAACTCGGTCGGATCAGCCAAGCAATCCTTTTTTCATATTAGTACTATATTTATCTGATTGGAACAATCACTTTATCAGCATTAATACGTGTAGTAGTACTACAAGCTAGTCCACATGTAGAAAAAATACAATTGCCTTGAAATTAATCAAACCATCACATCATTACATTATTATAAATGTGATACTGAAAACTTATAAAGCAGTTTAAAAATTGTTCTTTAGTTAAGACGTACTTTTGTTTTGTCAGAAGGAGAGATTATTAAGTGCTTTATGTTATTAGGTTTCAATTTATGTAAGAATTAGTAAGAAAATTTTATAAAGTATTTTTCTAAACAAATTTTTACTTTTTGTGGAAAAGGAGTTTATACCCCTTGTAATAATATATATATATTTATTTAAGTATTAAGCTTAAACTTTGTGCATGTATTTGTTGTTGTTTTTCTAAGTTATAAAAACCTCCACTGTTTCCAATTGAGTGTTGATAAAAATTCTGTTTGATAAAGTATTACCATTTTTAATTATGGTTTTGTCTTTATCTTCCAATAGTGCACTGAATGTGGGAAGTCATTTTATCATCAAAATTCATTACTAATGCACTGTTGTCCACAAAGAGGAAAAAAGAAATTGAAGATCACAAAGACCCAGAGCAAGGAGGAAAAAATCAATAGGAGTACATTACTTATGTGTGAAATATGTGGCTCACTATTCTCCAACACTAGTAGTCTGAATGTCCACAAGTAAGTTAATTCTCATCCTGAGATCCTTTTCGAAGATAATCAGAAAGTTCAAAAAAGTACTTTGTGAAGTTTATATCTGTTATTCTTGTTCTAAGGTAATATGTAAATCCACATGTTTTCAATCTTGAATAGTCTGAGTCTTGAAACATCAATAACAATTTTTTATTTTAACACAATTTATTCCGAATTGTTATTAGTAAATTATTTGTTAATTGGTTAATGAATATTTTGATTCTTAAAATCAACAATATTTATTTGTTTCATCGCTTAATAGTCTAACTTTGAGAAGCAGATGTTATTTTTGGTTCATTGCTGAATATTCTGAACCTCAGCTGTACCTGTTTCATCACTTAATAGCCTGAATCTTAATAAGTAAATCTCTTTCAATGTTTCATCAAATACTAGTCTGATAACTAAACTTAAGTTGCATGTTCTTGTACTTAATAGTCTAAATAATCTCTTTTAATGTTTCATCAAATACTAGTCTGATAACTAAGCTTTAGTTGCATGTTCTTATACTTAACAGACTGAATCTTAATAACTAAATCTCTATCAGTGTTTTATCAAATACTGGTCTGATAACTGAACTTTAGTTGCATGTTTTTGTAGTTAATAGTGTGAATCTTAATTAGTAAATCTCTTAATGTTTTATCAAATACTAGTTGATAACTAAACTTTATTTGCATGTTTTTGTACTTAATAGTCTGAATCTCAGTTTTAATATTAAAGTAGCTTTTGCTTGTAGAGTGCTAAGTTTTTAGTGTTATGGATGTTATGTTTGATCCTAACATTTTATTGCCATTAGTTTGCACTTTTCTTTCATTAGAATTATTATTATTTTTTAATTAATTAAACTTTTGCCATTTACACTGATATTAGGTTTTAACTAAATGTGAAAAATACAATTCTCTGTTATTTTTTTTTTACAATTAACCAAACTATTGTAGATTTATTACACTTGATAAATTTCATCATACCTCCTTTGTTGCATTTGACTTAACAATTAAAAAAGTGAAGAAGGAATTTGTGACAATGTTAGTATTTGGCACTCTATATATTTATGTATGTATTAACACATTTCTTTTCATTATTTTCTTCTTTTTTTTAAGTAATTCAGAAATGGTACCCAAAATAGCAGTTGCTGAGTAACAGTTTTAAAGTTGAGTTTTATACTGCTATCACTTCTAAGCCTAAAGTTTATAAAATTAAAGTACTTTAATACAATGATGTACTGCTTTACTTCACTGTTTTAGTATTGTGTAATTTTATGAAAAATGTGTTTGGCACTCTTTGAAATTTAGATTTGGATTTATCTTGTTTGGGTCTAATAAGACATAATAAAAACAATTTGATTTTTCATGTTTACATTAGGATTAGTTTCTTTTTAGAACTCTACTGTTGGCATATTAGTTGTTTTTTTGTTGTTGTTTTTCAGCAAATTGTGTGATAAAAGTTAATTTAAAAGAAAAGAAAGTTGTTATTGTGATTTATGCAAATTTAAGCAAAATACACTTTTTTTACATATTCAGGGTTGATCAATAAATAAGAGATTTTGTGTTTTACTGAACTACAGAATCTTGTACTGTGACATTGTAGTTTTTCTCATTTTGCCACCTCTTACAGTTAATACTCAGTGGTCACATGTAATGTAGTAAGAAATTAGTCAAATTATTAAACCTGTTATTTTTATCATGTAATACAGTGGTACGTCCTTACATGTATGTGTTGTGATGAGTATGAAAATGTGATTGTAAGCATCAGTAGTTTTGGGGTACTTTTTTCTATACGATAAGTAGCTAAATGTTTGGTTCAAGACTACCTAGTGTGAAGAAAGAAACTCTTCCATCAAACAGTTTATACATTGAAATTGTAGGTTAGTACTTTAATTCACGTAACTATTTTTATGTGAAAATTAGTAAAACTCTACTTATATATTTGCATGAAGTAACTTGCTACCTATTCCATAAAACATTAAATCTAAATTTTGTTGTAAGAGGTTAATTTTAAAGTCATACATTTATTCCAAAATATTGTATTAAACAGGTTACGCAAGTTTATTGATATTTTTATGTTAATGTAAGGGTATAAATATTATCATGAAGTGTATTATCTGCTAACTCTTTACTCGGCACTCATTTGTCACTAATGTTTTTCTTCTTTTTTTCTAGAAAACTTCATGGAGAAAAAAGCTTTTCTTGTGAAATTTGTGGAAAACAATTTTATCGAAAAGATCTACTTCTGGAACACACGTTTATACATCAAAAAGCATCAATACCATGTCCTACCTGTGGAAAATTATTCAAGTCTAAGAAGTCTCTTCATATTCATATTCGTATTCATAATGGTGTTAAAATGCATAAATGTTCTCAGTGTTCCAGGGTAAGATTATCATTATTCAGCATTGTAGTCTTCCTTACTTGTATTGTTTTCATCATCAAACTACACTTTTTTAGACTATGTCGTTACCGTATGAGCATCTTCTGTAATCTTTGCACTGAAGGACTAGTTTGTTGCTTTATAACAGTTTTCTGGTCACTCTTGTAAAAAAAAAATTAAGTGCCAATGTTTCATTGTTATATTTCATATGTTCAAGAAAAACTGTTCTTGTTATTTTATTAAAAAGAAACAAAAAATCCCATAAGTTTGAAATGGGTACAAATTAGATTGACTTAAAATTTAGATCACTGTCATGATCCAGTAGGTTTAATTATACATTTCTTTAAAACAAGTTTGAATATATATAAATATATACCTCTACTACAGTATATGATGTACAGATATGAAGTGCATAGAATTTAATTGTACCTAGGATTGTAAAAATAAGTTTTAAAGGAATTGGAAATTTGAATAATATGAATATTTACTCAGAAAGAATCATACCTGGGAAAAACATGTTTGTAAACCATTGCTTGGGAACCGAACCAATCTCCTATTACATTCTGATAGTTCGTAATAAAATTAGTTTCACACATTAATTTTATTTACCCTTTTGCTAAACTAATGATGATCTTTTATTAAAAATTATCTATACAAAGTTTAAGATCAGATTTCATTATGAGGAGGCTATTTGTTAGAATTTAAAGATGTTGTGTGTTGAAATGGGGGGGGTAATGGGTTAAACGAATTTTTAATTTTATGAGGGACTCTTAATATAAACAACAATGTCAATTAACTCATCTCACTACTCTGGGATGGCCAGGCACTTTTTAACTTGTAGGTTAATAATCAAAAAATGATTTTTCATAGTATAGAATGCTTCAAGTGATGATTTTTGAAGCTTTTTTTTTTAACTTTGAGTGAAAAGTGAAACATATAAAGCCTGATAAACTGTATAGTCTTAAATTGTCATGTACTAAGTGGCTGCCACCTGCCAAGTCATTATGGCAGTCACTGACTTGCTTCTGCATAGAAAAAAAATCTTTAAACTTTTCTTTTAGGTGGTGCCTTATAAGTTAGTTAGCAGGAAATATCGTACTTTGAGGAATTCTTAAAAAATATACATGATAAAATGTACATTTGTGAATATGAAGTGACTCTCATGATTTAGCATTTCCAGCTCTCGGGGGAAAAAATTATTTCTCTTATATGTATTCCACGTAATCAGTTACAGGATGTCTGAATTTGTACCCAAATATTTTTAACTGCTCTGCTTCAGTTAAAAGAATCTGCTAAAAAAAATGGAAGCATAGATATCTGGCTACATAACTGGTCATTAATAACACTATAATAACTTATTCTGTGTAGTTATTGTTATGGCAGTTTTATTTAGTGAAGAGACTTAAACAACAATATAAATAAATATTATACAAATATTGTTTATACCAAAGAATTTGGGGCTGTGCTGACCTAGTGGTGAGCATCAGGCTGCAGATCACTGGTTTCTGGAATTCAAAACACGATTTCAATGAATATTCTCCACACTTTTAGCTGTAGGTACATTAAAAAAAATTAAAGTCAATCACATCATTCGGATGAAAAATCTGGACAGAGCCCTTGTCATGGTAGGAGCATCTAACTGGCTGCTTCCCCTCTTATCAGTAGATAAAATTAGGAATGGTTAAATTTGAATCTGAGGAGTCTCTGACCTGGTTGTTTAGCATACATGTGTATAAGGTGCCACTGGGATTGAAAAATGAAAAATCCCAGTTAGAGAAAATGTTAAATTGATAATAGTGTTTTAAAAAAGTATGTAGTGCATGTCACAGTTTCATAAAGTTTAATATAATTGCTCAGTAAGAATTTTCTGTTTACAGGAATAATATTATGATATTTTAAAAACCATAAATTATGAAAATTTGACTTGACAAATCTTTTCTGGAATTTCAGGAATTTCACCAGAAAGGAAACCTTCTGAAACACCAAGAGTCCCATGATAAAAACATAAAGTACACATGTGATATCTGCTTTAAAAGCTTCAAAAGAAAAGAATATCTTAGCACACATACCCTGGAGCACACGAGAGGACGTATATATTCCTGTGAAACTTGTGGGAAAAGTTTCATCAAGGTAGATTAGTGGAATGTGATATTAACATTAATTAGATATGTGTATCTCTTTCTTTATGTACGTACATAAACACACAGGTATAAAATAAGCTCATTGGTTCTCAAGGATTTCCACAATGCAAAACTTAATTGGTTAGCATTATGCACCATTGACTTGGGTAGTTAGACTGGTTTAATTCTCAGTTTGTCATGGTTTTGGGGAGGGGGGTTTATTATCTAATGTTCTTTCATGAATATTCTCCAAAATGTGATTAACATAATGTTAACACATCTCTCAGGAGCCAAGGGGTGTCTTTACACTACAATTTGTTAAATATAAAAAGTAAGTTCTATCCGGAAACTCCTAAAGAGGGTGGTTTTGGACATAACTTTTTGAGACAAGCTTTTGTTTCTTAATTGATGAATTTTTAAGTGAAATACAGCATCCTCAAGTCTCCATACTAGCTAATACTAGTATATATTTCTTTATATATCTTTATTGATATATATAAATCACATTCTCAGCATCATTAATTAAACAATTGCCAACCTTTTATGCTTCTGCTATCATCTATATTTAGCTGTCAATTGAAATATGAACAAGTTTACCTGTGATTTGGTAGGGAAGGTCAAAGCATCACAATAGTCAGCAGTAGGATGAGCAGACAGGAACACTTTGAAAACAGTTACAGGCATAATATTGTACTCGGCTGCTGCACAATATCTACCAAGGTGGTTCTAAATGGTTCCTGAATACCTTTGCGTGTCATTTTCTGCTTTTTGTGCTTGGCCGTTAAGCTCGTGATGCACTGATGGATTTCAGTCACCTTACCACTTCATATCCCTTTTTGCAGCCCCAATGCTAAAAGATTGTGGGAAATGTCTTCTTTTTAGCCTATAAAAATGTCCAAAAAATTTCAGTTCAAATAAGAAAAACCAGATTGGGTAGTTTGTTTTTTCAACAAAAATGTCCCCCACTGGCTCATGAGGGGCCTGTTAATAAAAGCAAATTAAAGATCCAGAAACCTGATGATTAGACAGATCAGTATTTTCAGATTGACAGTAGATATTTCATCTTATTAGTAGATGAATTCATATTTCTGTGCACCAAACCATTATAGTTTAAATATTAAATCTTGTCTTCTTATCAGTGGTTAACCCATTAACTGCGGATGACGAATATTTCCCTCATTGAAGTTCTATGGCTCAGCTGCGAATGACGGAAATGTCCATCAGTCGCACATATAGAACTATAACTCTATGCGAATGACGAAAATTACCATTTTATTGTGATTGATGGCAACTCAGTTTTATCTGTGAGTCAGAAAATGGCAACTGAGCTGTTCCTGCCACAGTTAATGGGTTAAAGAACTTGTTTGATCAGTAGAGTTATAGATTTGAACATTATTTATTGATTTCAAAACATCTACTGTAATTAGAAAGCATGAATTAAAGGTAGTTGTTATGTCACTTAGATCTGGAGTTGAAAAATTCCAAAATTTATTATCTATTTTTTTTAGGGCCAAATTCTAACTTGCCTATAGTTTTAAGCATTACAGGAACTTATAATTTCAAAGATGTTCTCCTCATCATATAGACGAAATGGTAATTTGAAAATTGATAGATATATGAATTAAAACCCATTTTCTCGTGTATTTTTCTCAGAAATACCATGTGAGTGAACATATGAGAATCTACCATAGCAACAAGTCTTATGTGTGCAAGTACTGTGGAATACATATCAAAATACGACAATCTCTGAAGCGCCATCTTAACAAAAAACATTTGGAACATTCCCATGAGTTGGACGATAAAATGATTGAAGCTATGACAGTATCAAATGAATTCCAGGGCACATCGTCATTGCAAAAATCAAGAAGGAAAAAAAGCACCCAAGGTTTGTTGTAAAATTAAATATTCACCAGGTTATTGTTTTCTCTGTTTGTTAATCATTTAATCATGTTTTCTTCTGGGGAAATTGCTACAGTTTTTGCTGTTAGCATCTTGTTTTGTTATTCAGATGAGTTGTCTTAGCCAAACAAGTCCCACTGCATGACATATTTTATACATACAAATTCCACAGTCATGCTATCAATGTATAAGTCCCACTATATACCATGTTGTTGATATACAAATCCCACTGTATGTCATGCTGTAACCATGCAAATTTCATTGCATACTGGGTTTTAAGGATAGAAATTCCACTGTATGTCATGCTGTAGCCATACAACTCCCATTATATGTCCTGTTGTAGCCATACAATTCCTATTGCATGCCATGTTTTAAACATACAGATCCCACTCTATGTCCTGTGGTAGTCATACAAATCCCACTATATGTCATGTTGTAATTATTCAAGTTCCACTGTATGCCATGGTGTAGCCATACAAGTCCCACTATTTGTCAGTTGTAGGCCTAATTTTATATTTCATTATCTGTTTCAGATAAAAATAATTGAAGTTAATTGTAGTTGTACAACACTTTGAAGACCTTTTAGTCAAACTCCCATTTCCAGGTGTAAATACTAACCTAAAACTGTTCAACTTTTTAAAATCATTACTCCCCCCCCCAAAAAAAAAGAGTTTAAGGTGAAGCTGTTGGACATAGAATAATTTCATAAATATATCATACATACATATGAAACTCAATTTTTTATTCCTAAAAATTTGATTACAGTTAAATCATTGAAATTTTATCAAAAGTCTGAAAATTCTTGTGAGTTATGCAAGCATTTACCCCAGTCCTGAAATCTATCATTAAGTGTACTAGTTAAATATAATTGCATTGAATTTCAACAAATCAACATGAAGCTTGTATCTAGCTTAAAACTAATTATTAAAGAAAACGGGGCCCAGCATGGCCAGGTGGTTAGGGCGCTCGACTCGCAATCTGCGGGTCGCAGGTTCGAATCCCCGTTCCACCAAACATGCTCGCGCTTTCAGCCGTGGGGGCATTATAATGTGATGGTCAATCCCACTATTCGTTGGTAAAAGAGTAGCCCAAGAGTTGGTGGTGATGACTAGCTGCCTTCCCTCTAGTCTTACACTGCTAAATTAGGGACGGCTAGCGCAGGTAGCCCTCATGTAGCTTTGCACGAAATTCAAAACAAAAACAAAATCAAGAAAAGGGGGAAACTTTCAAAATTTGTAGCACATACTGGAGGGATTTACACATGTCTTATTTTTAGCTAATCATAAAACATATTGTAGTTCTCTTTATTTTTATATCTCGTCTAAAAGTAATATACATTATATGTTAATATAGCTGTATAGTTAGTGTTATAACTATACTATAATGTTAGGATAATAATGAAACAATTATGATAATTTATACATTATTAGATGCACATTATGGCAGGTTTGAGGAATAAAACATTACAAGCTGTTTTATAATTTAATGAATATTCTAGTATCAAACAGTTGTGTATGTTAACCCTGATGAAGCTGCAAAGGTGAAACGTTGGTTAAAATAATTTTATATATATCTGGAGTGTAAAGGTTGTTTTTTCTAAACTTTCAACTATTATTTACCAAACAAACTTTTAGTATTTAATGTTTATTATATTAATAATAGGAATAGTGCTTTTACAGTGGATTTACATCATGTGCCCAAAAGGTTTGCCTCAATATAGTAGATACACATTGGATCAGTCACATTGAGTTACCTGGCAGAGAAGAAATTAGTAACAGATATCAAACCTTTGGCAGGGTTATTTGGTAGAGATTGAACAGCCTAGGAGAACTAAGTCCATATGATTAATAAATACTATCACAGTGTTTTTCCTAGGTTCCATAGTTTAAGGAACTAGCGTCTACTTGTACCAACATTAAAGGGACACACTTTTTTGAAATAGTGTATTTAATAGTGAAAAGTATTACTAATCTGAACAATTATATTTAGTTGATAGAATTATGTTTTGTTAGTTGCTTCAACATTAAGAGGACACAGTGGAAATTTTTGAGGGATACCCTTGAGAAGTATTGTATTTAATAGTGAAAAGTATTAGTTGATAGAATAGAATTATGTTTTATTAGTTGCTTTAACATTAAGAGAACACAGTGGAAATTTTTGAGGGATACCCTTGAGAAGTATTGTATTTAATAGTGAAAAGTATTAGTTGATAGAATAGGATTATGTTTTGTTAGTTGCTTTAACATTAAGGGGACACAGGGGAAAGTTTTGAGGGATACCCTTGAGAAGTATTGTATTTGCTCTTACAATTGATCTTATCCTTTACTTACCTTCTATTATGCATACACTTATAATAATGAGGCATAAACAACACAAAAAATGTAAAAACAGTCATGTGTCTGGCCACGATCGGGGTGGCTTGAGTTTTAGTTGCTCACCATTGAGGTGAGGCCTGCTAATTTGATAGACACATTTTTAGATAAATTTCAAGAACTTTTTTTTTTATCAATAATCAGAAAACTATGAATACCATTCAAGTACATGTTATGTTTATATACTGAAAGTGAATTATTTGTTTATGTCAATAGCATTATATGTTTAAACATCCATGCATTTATATTTATAGAACCACTATGGATATCGGTTATTTTTAAGTCGTCGTTAAGTTTTGTTGGTGCTTCACCAATCTGGTTAATATGCCTATTACCTAGCTACAGAAAGAATAATTACTTGATTATTGACTCATAATATAATAAGAAACATTTCAACGTATTTGATTACATTTTCATGCTTGTACACTTCTAAACTTTAACAGAAAATGGTGACAACCTCTTTCTAGTGAATTCACGTTTTATTACCTTGATGTTTTGCCTTGTGGCTTCTTTAACAGCCAATAAATACAAACTATAGAAACTTAAAAAGATAGACATCCTACTGTTACAGAGCTGAGCAATTAACTTGATTAACTGATCAAATTGGTTACCTATGAGCAGTGTCATGTAAGGTAATCAACAAATTGATCTTAGTATTTCTAATTATTGCTAATTTTGATAATTCTAACTATCCCAGTAATTGAAACATTGCCATTATTATCATTTGTAATTATTATTTTAGATTAATCCATGATTGGTTAGCTTAACCTTATGTTTACGCATGTGGTTCACAGTGCACGCATCACAACTTTTTACAGAATTACATTCACAGTTCAGTTAAACAACTGGCATCAAACATAGTTTATAATCCACACGTCACAACTTTTTTACAGAATTACATTCACAGTTCACTTAAACAACCAGCATCAAACATAGTTTATAATCCACACATCACAACTTTTTTTTACAGAATTACATTCACAGTTCAGTTAAACAACCGACATCAAACATAGTTTATAATCCACACGTCACAACTTTTTTACAGAATTACATTCACAGTTCAGTTAAACAACCAGCATCAAACATAGTTGATAATCCATATTTTAATTTTAAAAGGAAATATTTAAATAAATTCTTAACTTTCTCTGTATCACATGACGCTTCTTCACTCCAAATTGCCCATTTTAGATTTTCTTTCTGCCCCTATATGATGTTTTTAATTTGCCACCAATTACAGACTTTTACTATAGATGTTGCTAACCCATAATGTAAAATTATAGTTTCCAAGCATCTTCATTTACAGAGATATAAAAAAAAAAAATTAGTGAAATCCATCTTGTCTTTCAAAAAATATCAATAATTCTCTCTGACATTTACTATTGGATTAATTGTAACCAATAGGAAGAACATATTCTGCTTTTCAAGATTCCTGTTGAGGCTAGTCCTTTCAGGTACTAAGTTTTGAAATACTTAGCCTCAATTTCATTGTTTGCCTTTATGGTGTTTTGCTCGACCAGTAAAAATATAGTAGTTTTAGGACTGTGTTTTTTGTGTGTGATAGCATTTTATGTTCTGACTTGTATTTTAGAAATACAAATTAATAATATTTTGAACAACTTATATCATTACACAAAGTGTAGGCTTTACAATGCTTTGTTAGCTGACTACAAAAAGACAAGAGTCCAGACATATATGTACTAAATTTCTTGTTTTTTATGTATATGTTTTATTTTTTGTATAAAAGTAACTAAAATGTAAGAATTAGAAAATTATTAGACAAGAAAGACTAAGTGAAACACACTAGGTAAAAGAATTTTTATGATATTCTATCATAGCACGCGCACATCATGAGGTATGATTGCAATTTAACCATGATAAGTTAGTTTCAGCATACTTGGAGTGCAGATGTAAAGCGATAAAGCTAAATGAACCTAGATCTGAAAAGTGTTTACTGTGGCTGCCTTAATAAATAGTGTGCAATTGTCTGTTACAGTATGCAGTCATTTTAGAAAGAAAAAAAGGATAATTAATTTTAATTTAATATTATTTATTTATTTATTATGTATTGCTGATATTGCTACAGTTAGTGTTAGGGGTAGAGGAAATAAGAAATAAAGTATAATGTTTTACTAAAGAGAGATGTATGGTATTAGAGGGATCTAGAAGTTATGCAAAAGAAAAATGAAAAGAAGTATTTTTAATTCTTAGCAGGAAAATCACCTTTCACTTAGACTGAATCAGTAAATTCTCGGACAAATCTTTAGTCAAAAATACTGTATAAAAAAAATACTAATTTTTTTTCGTAGAACGGACTTTTTATGTTTACTAAAAGCTTGCCAAATGTATTGAAGATACGCATAGTAAATTCAGATTACAGTAAATATTAATTATTCATATGGGCATCAGTCCATTGGGTCATCCCCGTGAGCATAAGTATCATAAGCCACAAAAATAATCAAACAATTAAAATTAATATTTATAATTATTACTGTTTTTTATTATTTCAACCATCTTAGTCCCATATGATAGTAATTGAGTAGTTGGATGTAATTAATTAATGATCCTGACAGTTAATTGTAAAATTACACTAATCACACAGTTCTACCTAGAATCCAGAATTTTAAGGGTTTTTTTTTCCTTTTTTTTTAAGAATAGGAATATTTTTGACCAATTAAAGACAACATATCAAGAATTTCAAGAACTATCTTTACTTTTCATCAGTATTTTACATCAGACAGTGCAAGATGTCAGAATTTCTTGCATTTATTTAAATTTGTGATAAATATATCTATATATCTACTTTATTACTCATATTTCAGATAAGAAAATACTTAATGATAGCAAAAAATGTCATGGAAATGATGCTGAAGAAAAAGCTAAAACATCAACTGACACAGGTTATGATGATACCTCAGATGATGATCAGAAACCTTCTGAAACTTTAACAACTGCAAGTGACAGAAATCATGTACAGTCTAAAGCAAAGCAAGATAGACACAGCAGCAAACAAGAAAGAAATGTAAAAATCAAGGTAACTGATAATAAGAATGTTGGAATGAGCTCAGGAAAATCAGTGCCCGAAGCTTCACAAGGATTAGTTCTGTTTCCTGAAACTCGAGAGAAAAGTGCAAGTATTGAATGCATAGAAAGAACACAAAAAGGTAGTTTTGTCGACAATGCTCGTATAAGCCAGAATTTAATTGAAGTTACTTCTAATCACCTTGAAGTGGGTGCTTTTGTGGAACTTTTAGATGAAGAATGTGCAACTGTCGAGACAAATGAAGTGTGCCATCTCAAACATATTACATTTGGGCAAGATAATAAGTCTTTACCCTTGGAATCTGAATTTGAAGCCATGTCTGCATGCCAACAAATAGCCAAACAGCTGTCAAATGACCAGCAAGAAAACATGTTGGGAAAGTTTTCTGAAAATGAATGTAAGTTATTTTTTTTCAAAACAACAAACTAAGTTTTTCTAGATGCCACTGTATTTCTCTCGTGTATTTAAAATTATTTTGTTTCATTGTGCAAACACTTCCATAAAATACTTAAAACATGTGTACTAAAAATAATTAAACAATAATTTTTTTTGAATTAAGGATCACTCATTTTAAAAATGAGCTTGATAATCCTCATGTTTCCGTGAATTATCATTTTGGAGTCACATTTTACAAATTTCTTTCCAGGCACAATCGTATTAGAGGAGGGAACCGTTATTGAGGAAGGTGAGACAGATAATGATGGCAACCTTTTGTTTTATGTGGTAAACATGGACGAGATACATTGAAACCATTGCATGCCCAGGGTGAAAGGGAGAACATTATTTTGTTTTAGTTGATACATTTATCGCAAAAAAAAAACGATGCTGGTAAGGTAGTATGTTTTGATGTGTGGCTGTTAATTGATTTTGTGCCTGCTGAAGAACTGCTGTGCTTATAAATAAGCTGGGAAAGGAAACGTCCTTTTTATTATGCTTAGCAGTTATAAAAAAATACAGGAAAAGTATTTGTGTGTAAAAATTAAGAGCAACTTTCAGTAATACAGATTGGAATATTTAAATATTCCACCCAAATTCATAGATGGCCTCAGACTCTAGGTTTGTAATTTTTTTATTTGTTTGTTGTATCTCAGTGAAAATGAATCCTAGAGACATTTCAGATTCATTTACTAGTTTATAGTCTGAGCCCAGATGTTAGGATTGCCAGAGTTTTTCATTGATGGCAAATCCATTTTAATCTAATGTAGAATGTTTCAAAACCGTTTGGTTATTCATTGTCAAAAAAAAACTTTGTACAAATTTAGTTTTATCAGATTTCAGTATGGTAAACTTGTTTTTAGTCCATACACGAAAGGTACATATATGTGTGTGAATACAATCGGCATGAAACATTATTACATTTCTGGACATTTTATGCTCTTAATTTTAATCATAAATGAAAGGTAATTTTTGCGTATTTGTTTATAGTTTCCTGATGATTATCCAAGAGAAATTTCTCTGCACTTGTGTGGAAAATTCTTGTGTTTGAGAAGATCAGATCTTATAAACTTGATTTTCATATGTTAAGAAAATAAAAAAATAACTACCTTGAATATCATCTAGGATGTGAAACATTTTTTGAGTTGTTTAGAAAGTTGTATATAGATTTTGGAGGTGGGAAGAAAAAAAACTTAATGAGGTATTTCACAATTGTAATTCTGTAGAGTACACATATATATGGTGATAAATACTTCAAATTTTAATTGTATTTTGGTCATTTTATAAAAGTTTTTCTACTATTCAGAATATTCAAGAATAAAAGTATTAGCCTACTTGAAAAAATATACATCAAATATATGAGTTACAAAGAACTTTTAATCATCCATCTATTCTTAACTCTCAGTCAGAAAATGTGTTTAAATGATAAATTAAGTATACATTTATAATAGTATATACTGATAAAGATTTATTTTGATATAATATTAATCTATTAGACAACATGAAAGTCATTATTTATATTAATTGATGTTTGTGTGTGTTTATATATATATATATATATATATATATTGCCTAGACCACTACTATGTCAGTCATATCTCAGTCAGACTCATTAGCCCTGGTATTGGGAAGAGGCCTCTTCAGCAATGGATATGGTAGATGTGGTTGACATATGATAACATATTCTTCCTTATTTTCACTCATGGGTTCTTAGAATTACTATTGTTGACTTGTTACAGTGGTTGCTTGACCCAGTCCATGAATAGGAAGAGCAGCTTGTTGGCTCGTCAATTTTTGGGAGTGATAGTAAAATCAATTAAAATATACTAAATAATCGGTGTTAGAATTAAAAATAAATAAACAATGTTTTATTTATCCTTACCATAAAATCTGATTTATAGATGACTTAAATAAAAATTGATAATAATTGCAATTCACTTGCTTAGTCTAGTTCGCATTATAATGGTCGTTGTTCGTGAAAACTGATGATATGTTTAGTGTGTAGATAAGTGTCACAAGTCATAAAAATAATCAAACAATTAAAATTAGTGTTTACAATTATTACTGTTTTTGATTATTTCAGCTTTCTAAGTCTCATATGATGATAATTGATTAGTTGAATGGAATTAATTAGTGAACTGACAATTAACTGTAAAGGTACACTAATCGCCCAGTTCTACCTGGTATTGGGTGGAAGGTCTCATCTGCACTGGATGTAGCATATGTAGTGTGTTTGACATATGAAAACATATTCTTATGTATCACTCATGGGTTCTTAGAATTTTTCATTTTGGTATCTGCTCCCACCACCCAGCTTCGTGCATAACAAATGGAAAAGAAAAAGTGTTTACTTAAAAAAGTGGTCCAAAGAAGGATGCTATGTAGATGATTGGAATCTTCCACGTTATAAATGTTTTGAAGTTGGGATAAAATTAAGAAAAAATTGTTGATTAGTAAAATGTGTATATATATAGTTATTGTCATCTGAACACTAAAAATTGTTATTTTCATGTGTACTCAGAACTTTTTTTTCTTAACAGTGGGACTCAGACTGTAGTTTTCTGGCTTAACAGTGGGACTCAGATTGTAGTTTTCTGGCTTAACAGTGGGACTCAGATTGAAGTTTTCTGGCTTAACATTGAGACTCAGGTTGTAGTTTTCTGGCTTAACAGTGGGATTCAGATTGTAGTTTTCTGGCTTAACAGTGGGACTCAGATTGTAGTTTTCTGGCTTAACATTGAGACTCAGGTTGTAGTTTTCTGGCTTAACAGTGATGAGTAGAAGACAACTACTAATAAAACAAAAAAATCTCTATACCCTGGAAAACCTTCCAAACATTATCAGCTATTTTTGGCTTACCTATCACAAACTATAAGCAAACGTCTTTTGTCATTGATCTTCCTGTAGTTTTATCTGAACACGTAAGCAGCTCATGGCAAAATGATCAAAAAGGAGTATACATTGAAATCTGTATTCATGTGAGTGGATATACACATATGTCAATAAGTTGACAACCAGGTCTGATAACAGTATTGTAATATATATATATATATATATGTAAACACATAATTTTTGGATATATTTTATATTAGTGTTGAAACCACTTAAGCACACTGTACATAATTTTTATGTGTCTCATATTTCATCAGGTCATTAAAAGCTGTTAATATTTCAGAAATACTAATTTTGTTATTGTCTTCTCTGTTTTTCTCAGATACACATGAAAGGACATATTTTACATTTTAATAAACTTAGAAGCCTGAACAGTTTAATGACACCATATGTGAAAACACATTCTATTTTTCATTTTTTTGGTAGGTTTTCAACAATAATATACAATTACAAAATTGTTATACAGTGAAATTTTATGCAATGTACACAATATGTGCACCAAAATTTGAGGTTGTTCGAGCTTAAAGTTTTGGATTCCTATATAAATATCTAAAACTATGAAAAATGTAATCATTATGTACTTAAGTCGGTTTTTGAAGTAGTTATCCTAAAATGATGATTTTAGGTTTTTAAGTATTCTACTTCAGTAAAGTTGGGCTACATTATTGGACACATTTCACTTGTGTTTGCAATTTACGTGTTGCTTAGAACATATTATTTTACATATGACACTGTAATTATAAACAAAATGTTACAATGTTTTTTTGTAAATATTTCTGCATATCAAACGTATATGTAAAAACACTTTTTATTCCACATAAAACTTTCACGAACTTCAAAACTACTACTGAGAAAAATAGCTTGTGATACCTGAATAGTACTGGGTATTAAGCAGGTGAGTTCTTTTTTTTTTTCTTTTTCAAAAAATGAAACCGCCAAATTATCATCATTTAAGTTTTTCATGATTTCATAATGTGTTAGAAAACACTATTCCTTGAACACAATGCAGCCATCTCATTAATTCTCACCATTTCTGTTTAGTCTGGTTTGTCATAACCATGAAAAAATTATTTGGGGTGGGGGTAAAAATATATAAAAACTCTCTAGTTCTTTTCTTTTGCCTCCAGTGGCTCAGCGGTAAGTCTAAGGGCTCATAACGCTAGAAATTGGGTTTTGATATCCATGGTGGGAAGAGCACAGACAGTCCATAGGATAATTTTGTACTTAACGACAATCAAACTTTTCTTTTTTTACACCAATATCATATTTAAGAACTCTGGATGCTTAATTGTTGACTTAATTTTGAAAGTTCAATGAAATTATCCAAGGCATTGGTTCTAAGAACATTTTGTTTGATAATTTTTTTTCCAAGTCTAGAGTATGTAGTGATTGGAAAGTCGATTAAAAAAATTCAAAAGATGTAAATGGATATAAAAATATTTTTATAGTATTTACTAAAGAAAAACAAACAATTGTGAAAGCAAAATACCAGTCTGTAAAAATTTGGGTCTAAAATACGTTAATGGTAAGTCATAGGTTTTTACATTTGTCTGGTTTGTTTGTTTGTTCTGTAGGTTTTGGGTTTTCTCTACTTCATATTTTATATTATCCGGGTTTTTAAAGTGATTGAAATCTTGATTAAGTGTCAGATATTGTAGAATATTGGTCCAGGTTCATGATAATCAGACATTTACATGCCATTCAAAAGGCCCTGCATGGCCAGGTGGTTAGGGTGCTCGACTCGCAATCTGAGGGTCATGGGTTCGAATCCCCGTCACACCAAAATTGCTCGTCCTTTCAGCCGTGGGGGCATTATAAAGTGACGGTCAATCCCACTATTCGTTGGTAAAAAAGTAGCCAAAGAGTTTGCGGTGGGTGGTGATGACTAGCTGCCTTCCCTCTAGTCTTACACTGCTAAATTAGGGATGGCTAGCGCACATAGCCCTCGTGTACCTTCACGAAATTCAAAACAAACAAACAAGCCATTCAAAAATGAAGTAATGTCAGATGATGAGTAAATTAAAAAGTTAATAGTTCATGTACTTCTACACGTGTACCTTTCGAAAGCCATTAATTATCGAAAGAAGTCATATTGGGTTACGTTCTTTGTTATACAGAATTATACACTTTGTTTGTTAAATTTAATGCAAAGCTTCGCAAAGGATATCAGCATTAGCCGCCCCTAATTTTGAAGTAATAGACTAGAGGGGAGACAAATAGTTAGTCAACACCACCCACTACCAACTCGTGGGCTACTCTTTTACCAATGAATAGTAGGATTGATTGTCACGTAATAACACCCTCACAGCTGAAAAGGCGAGCATATTAGGCAACTGGTTGCGATCCTACATATTGCGAGTCGAGCGCCCTAACCACCAGACCTTGGCTTGGTTGAGAGCGTTAATAAAAACAACAAGTGCTTTAAGATTCTTCCATCAGATGAGTAATTCCACATGATTGGAAGAAAATATCTAAGGCTAATTAAACAAAAGTATTTTCACACTTTATTAAAACCACAATATTCAGCTCAAAATTCCACACATTAAAAATCCACAACCAACTATTTCATCCATATTCAGTATTTCATACTGAACATAATTAGCACTTCTCTCTGTAATTTATACCACACATGAAACATTATTTTATACATCCTTGTAACATCAAATGTTTAAAAGCTGGTCATAAGTATTCGTAAATAATATATACAAAGTTCACATTTTATATTAATTATTATTTACCAGTTCTAACTTTATACGGAATATATGTATCGTTTATTACGTAAAACACTTCCGTTTTAAAGCGATAGCTTTGATACCCTTATACTGGTTAAGTAATACAGAACATTAATTTATTTACCAGTATTTAACTTCTATGAATGTAAGAGCTTTTGTTAGATAATTGATGATTTGCTGTCTTTACAAAGCTAAAAATAATTCAGAAGTAATAACACTTACTAGATATTAAAACGAAAATGTTGAAAAATAATACTACACCCGAGAAAACCCGTTAAGTGTTAAAATTAAAGTGATTCTGTGTTATATAACTAGGTTACAAAATAACCATGCGAACACTAATTTAGCGCTGAACGTTGGAGCCAAGTCGACCAGTGAACATAACGGACAAACATCCTCATACAGTGATGATGCATGAAAATATTTAAGCAATACTAGCTGACGAGAAGTTGAAATACGAGGTTCAAAGGTCAAGTAACCCACATGAAAATAATGCAGCAAAACGATATAGTACTGTGAATATGACGGAGAGGGAAATTTGAATGAAAAATGTAGAAGCTGTTAATACGTAGCTTCTTAAATAATTAAGATTAGTTCTACAGTTTGATTATCCGGCCGCTTATACATAAAACTAATCGTGGTTTATCTTGTGTTAAAAAATGTAGTTCTACAGTTTGATTATCCAGCTGCTTATACATAAAACTAATCGTGGTTTATCACGTGTTAAAAATGTAGTTCTCCAGTTTGATTATCCAGCTGCTTATACATAAAACTAATCGTGGTTTATCACGTGTTAAAAAATGTAGTTCTCCAGTTTGATTATCCAACTGCTTATACATAAAACTAATGGTTTATCACGTGTTCAAAAAAAATAGTTCTACAGTTTGATTATCCAGCTACTTATACATAAAACTAATCAGGTTAAAAACTAATTAGTTAAAAAAAATTAGTTCTACAGTTTGATTATCCAGCTGCTTATACATAAAACTAGTCAGGTTAAAAACTAATTAGTTAAAAAATAGTTCTACAGTTTGATTATCCAGCTGCTTATACATAAAACTAATCATAGTTTATCACGTGTTAAAAAAAATAGTTCTACAGTTTGATTATCCAGCTGCTTATACATAAAACTAATCACGGTGTATCACGTGTTAAAAAAATGTAGTTCTACAGTTTGATTATCCAGCTGCTTATACATAAAACTAATCATAGTTTATCACGTGTTAAAAAAATAGTTCTACAGTTTGATTATCCAGCTGCTTATACATAAAACTAATCATGGTGTATCAAGTGTTAAAAAATTTAGTTCTACAGTTTGATTATCCAGCTGCTTATACATAAAACTAATCATGGTTTATCACGTTTTAAAAAACTTAAACACGAATTCATTCTAATTATCAGCAATTGGTGTAAGAACTAGATCAAGTATCCCAGTACAATGTTTTTATTGTGTATATGATCATAGGAACGTTATACGTTGACAAAGAACAAAAAATAAGGTGGACATTTTATCTCTCTCCCTTTTTCAATTAACCTTTGCTGTATAGAAAACGGTATCAAATGACATCGAAGTTTGATCTTTTTAGAGAGGTTCGTTTGGAGTTTAGTAAAACCAAAATTAATCTAGCATTACTTCAGTAATAAAGACACAAATTTAAAGACAGGAAAGCCATTTTTCACTTACACATCAGAAACACTTACGATCAAAGAAAGTGCATTAAAATACAGAAACATGAAGTTGGATAAGATAAAACTAAAAAACGGTGCAGATCGAACTCATCACCTTTCTTTCTCTCCTTGTTACAGTTTGAAGTTTTAAACTACAAATCCACAATAGAAACGAGGACTGACAAGATCAGTGACCTGAAATTGATTCCAAAAAGTTCTATTTTTTTTCTATACATTTCAGTGAAATACTATTTGTGTATTAACTAATACCAACCTTCCGTCACTGATCAAGATATACAGTTTTAAACGTTCGAACTAATTTTTAACAGACAAACATATCCATACAGTGATTATCAAAATATCCAAGTAATACAAATTGAGGAGCAGTGGAAATACGAGGTTCAAAGGTCAAGTTACTCACGAGAGAATAATGCAGCAAAACGATATAGTACTGTGAATATGACGAAGAGATGGGAATTTGAACTATTTAAAAGGTGTTTTCACTTGCATGGCTTTGTTTACCTTGTTACATATTTTATAATACATGAATTTCATCTGTACATACCTTTTAGATCACTGACCAAATGGGAGAAGATTTGTTGGTACCCAACTGGGACTTATTTCCTTAGTCAACATTAAAATTATGACAAAATATGAATTAACACAAATACACTAAATAAAAGCAAATAATAAAAACAAACGACCAAGATAAAAGTACATTAACAAAGTGGTCACTCAGAGTGACCTTTATGACCCCAAAAATATCCCCAGATGGAATGAAATTCATTTAATGCAAAATGTAATAAAAATAAAGTCGTATACTTTAAAACACTAGATAATTGTCTGAGGACTTAAAACGCTAGAAACCGGGTTTCGATACCCGCGATGGGCAGAGCACAGATAGCCCATTGTGTAGCTTTGTGCTCAACTTCAAACAAACAAACAAGCCTCACTCTGCTCAAGTTTCTTGACCTTTGAACCCATATCTCAATCCCAACTCAATTTGTATTGCTTAGATATTTTGATGTATCGCAAAGTACTGTATGAAAATGAATATCTATTAAAAACTAGTTCGAACACTCGAGAAATTGTGGATTTGACATTATAATAAATGATACGGTAAATATATTTTTTTTTACTGTTTTCAGGTAAAATTATTTTTCGGAAATAATACTGCAAAAAAATCAGTGTATTAAAGAGAAAATATAGTTATAATCTTCGTGAAATTAACTTAAGAGTGGTTAAAAATGTTAAAATTATTTCTATAAACACGTTGCATAAAAATTTTTTAAACACAACTATTTGTTTGGACAAAATTTAAACGTCCGCCATTTTGTTTCTGTTTGCCCCTACTGATCCGAAATTGGCGTAACAAAATATATTTTTTCTTTTTTATTACCATGAGATACTAACTATGATAATGACTTTTGGTCACTGATCTTGCCACTTTTTTTTTTTTAAAGCCATTTCGGCAAACGAAAGTAAATCTGTTGATATTTTCTCAGACATTAGTAATCACATCTAACAAACACAAAGGCCAGACCATATCTGAAAATACACTAGCTGAAGGCCATTTTAAAGTGGAAGATTTTTCTTACTTCAAAAATCAATTCATTTGCTAAGTATCTCTTATCTACTATTTCAGTTGATTTAAGAAATATATATTTATTAACGCTGACATTTTAAGGAAAATTTAAGTAACGCATATATTTAATATAGTTCACTTTTATTAGATATCAGTTTTGGCAATATGTGACTTTTTTTTTTCAAACAAATTAAAAATAACAGATAAAACTTAGAATCTGAAGAAGAAGAAACATTAAAAATTCAGGGTAAAAATTAGTGCTTTATCTCAATTAGTGGTGAGCTAGGCAATACTTTTTCAGTTTTAAGTGATACAAAAATTTAAGACAAAAATGTATTTGTGACATTAAACAAAAGCTATACAACTTTAACAGCGTCTAAAACTCTAATATAAAGTTTTACACACTTTTTATCCCTTTTTTTTCAAACACTAAAACAAGTTTGTTTCGTTCGAAATTTTATAATAACATTGATATATTTTAGAAATTCGCAACTTTTAAAGAAGCGACTTCAATAATTACAAAAATAAATTATTCCTTCCAAATAAGCTATAATAAACCTTGCATATACTTAAATAATCTATACATGATATTAACTGAATGTTAGGTTTTTTTTTCATATTAAATAATTCGTGTTTACTATCAGTCCAATATAGTTTGATTTTTCAATTTCAACAGTGATTTTTCTAACATATTAAATCAAATTTATATTTCAAGTGGAGATATTTTTCTTTTAAATTAATTATCAAAAGGAACTTTAAATGCCAAAACATCTTGAGTTTCTGTCTATGTAAAAATTAGTTACTTATCGAGTTTCGAAGTAACACAGCATATTTTTTTGTTAAATGCAGGATTCAATATTGTTTCTCTCGTGTGTACTTGATCTGATCATAGTGGTTTTCTTCAGCTTACAAATTATCCCAGAATACCGAACTGAGCAGTTTTATATTTAAATTAAAAGTTGGTATTTTGGTCTAAAATAAGCCTACTTCTTCCCAAAACGATTAATGTCAGCCCACTTGGAAAGGTCAAGGTGGGGGATGTCACTACCCAGACAGTTCACACGTGGATTCCTGAAACCAATAAACAAAATAAAAATTTAGTCGGGTTCATATTTTTCAGTGATTTTACACCAGTAAAACGATTCAAATATTAAAATTCAAAAGCGCCATACACGAAGACTTCTTGGAAAGTAAACATTGCTCAAATTACACATACGATAAGAAGCAAAAAGATTCTATTTCATTCCTTTTCAATCGATCTTATAAATATTTTAAAAATCTAAAACTAAACAGTGAATTATTGCGTGTTAACACTTAATAGCATATAACAATTATGTTTTTGCTGTAAAAATCTACAAGTCCCTGTGTTCCATCCATTTTACTACTGAAATCCTTTTTTTTTCCATAATAACTCGCAGCAAGAAAGGTGTGGAATTAAGCATTTCTTTTCGAAGTTTTTGATAATTTTTTTATGGCTGAGAAAAAAAGTGCAGAGACTTGAGTGCGTCCGCTCAGCCACTTCTCCTGTGTATGTCACTGACATGTAATTGAGATTATCTGAAAAAACAAACAACGAAACCAAAACACCCTGATGAAGGTTAAGATGCCAGTAAAGTTTTGTTTGTTTGTTATGAAGTTCATTTATTTACATCTCAAACCCCCTCATTACTACAGACTTTAAGATGGAAACACACAAGATAAGTTTTAAACAACTAATCTTACCAAACATCCAGTTATTGCACAGTTACAACAGAGATGACGTTCTAAAAACTGTTCTCACAGAACTATACAAAACACTCAAGTTGAGCTTTCAACTGCAAATCTAACCAAAGCTCATTTATATCCGAATCAAATCTCACCAATAATGGCAGTATGCCATAAAATGATGTATTTACCTGTATGATCTTCTACCACACTAGAATTAGTGATGAAAAATTTCATCCACAAACCTCCAAGTTCTAGGGTAATTAAAAAGTTTTGTCAGATAGGATTCTAACATCATTTTTAACTTTAACCGAAAGCTAACTAACCCTTGAGGATGTGCAACCAACATGGCGTCCAGTTGAATGGTGTCCATCTCATCAGCATTTTCGCACAGAACTCTGCACAGTTGCACATTTCGGATTTCTTGGAGTTGCTCTATAGGTAAAACAAAAACAACTGAAGTTGAAAAAAAATTATCGCATTTTCTTTCACTTAAAGATTGTCATCTGATTGAAGAACCGGGTATTCAAGGTGAAGAACCGGGTATTCAATGACGTAGAATTGTATTTTTGTTTTCTACATCCTAGTTGGTGCCACTTGAGAGATGCATACACCAAAAAAACAAACAAAAAAAAACAAAACAGAACTACATTAATTTCAACAGTTCGTTTATGGTAGCTATTATATAGGGACAACGGTCAAATTATTGTGCTTGAATAGAATCCTGACAAAGTTATCAACTGGATTTCACCGCTATTGATAATAAAAGAGCCAATAGTTGACCAATGTTCTCTAACATCATTGCCTAAAAGCGCATATTTTATTCACTAAAACAGAATTTGTACGGCATAAAACTTACAATTGTTAACCATACAGATGAGTGAATGAAAGTTTCTTGGATATATCAGCACTAAAAGTACTCAGTTTATAACCGTTCGTTACATACGTTTTGATAGGTTGGAAACAATGAAACTTACCAGGACTGAAGGATGAAGGCCAACCACCGTTTTCGTACCAGAAACGATCTCCTCGCCTGATGTTAGTGAAATGTTCTGCAATTAAACAGGCAAAAGTTGGGCCTACAACAGCATTTGGGAGATGATACTCGGAGATACCTGCACTCCACAGGTCGATGTCATCCACGTGTCTTTGGATAAAGATACGTTAAAAATGCATGCTTAACAAAATCTTGTAAAGCATACAAACTGATGTTAATACTCACCTATAAGATAAATTTTGATAACTACACTTAACAACTAAGGAACGACACTGTAATTCCTTTTGGTGTCTCAAGAATCGTGTCAGCATTTTTTTAACCTTCTACCTATAAAACCTGGTATCGGTGCCATCTAATAAAAACCATCGAAAAGAACACATTTTTTCGTGTAATGTTTTTTAATATATTATCTGTACAAATTGAATGTGAATTTATCAACTCTTTATATACTGAAGAACGTTTACGATATTAATGATCGTATTTTGTTCTCGTTTTCACTATTTGGACGGGTAGTTTAGTAACTATTTCAATATTAAACATGTTTAAACGATATATAACTGTATACGTTCTATTATAGTAGCTGTTGCTTTTAAGAGTGGATATCAGTATTGATACTTTCAACTTAAAAAGCACTTTTTGCACACATGGTTTAAACGGCCAGGTCAGGGACCCCTAAGATTCACCTATAACAACCCTTAATTTATAACTGTTGACTCAAGGGTGAGTGACTTGTCAGCAGCACTAGCCGCCTATGTAACTAGTCCTAACCGAAGAGGATATTCGTTGTTACAGCTAAAATCATAACGTCCCTTCAGCTGAAAATGTGTAGCATGTTCCGTACCATACCACGGCTCGAACCTTCTGATACGTAGTCCGACACGCTAGCCATTAGGCTACGCTTGGCTTATAGTGAAAAGCAAAAAGTAGGCTTCGATCTGATAATCATAGGAAACCCCAGAAAAGAGTGTAAAGGTAACTTACACTTTATTCTTATCATTTCCCGTTTCTACGACAACACTACAACTTTTTTATCGAGTGAAATTTAATGAAATGAAACACTTCGACAGCAGTAATTAGTCCAGGATTTGCTCTGGCAATGATTATGATATTGAAATACTAGGTATCATAATTTAGCTTTATTTGAGTAATATATTATTGCGCTCTTACCTAACTGTACATATATATATATATATATTAAATTTTACACGGTGACGGAAATTAAAAATATAAATAATATCAAGTTATGACACTAAATGTAAGGCTCACAAATAAATAATAAAGACACACATCGAACACTATCAATCGCAAGAGAGCAATAACATAAAACAGTGGAAAACACAAAAATTCGCGTCACAAGAAAAAAAATAAAATAAAATGATACTGATTTGTTTGTAATTAAGCACAAAGCTACATAATGGGCTATCTGTGCTCTGCCCACCACGGGTATCGAAACCCGGATTCTAGCGTTGTAAGTCCGCAAACATACCGCTGTGCCACTGGGGGGCAAAATGATACTGATTTTATGAACAAAATTATAAATATGGTTAGCTGTTATTATTAATTATATATATATATATATAGTAAGAATGAATATCATATAATGGTGTGCTTTTTTGTTGTACAGCGCAAAGCTACAAAATGTGCTAGCAGCACTATACTCGTCGCAGGGATAGAACCTTCAATTTTTTCGCTATAAGCCCTCAAGCATACCAGTGGAATCATTGAACGAAGATACCAGCTACACATTATCTAGGTTCGGAAATACTAATGTATCATTTAATGATTTTTTTTTCATAAAGATTTAATAGTGACATAACCGAAGTTTTGTTTCTATAAAAATATCCTTATTTCAATTCAACATCAAAAGGTAAGCCTACCTACTGATTTTATTCTTTTAGGTGGTACTATGGTAGCGAATATCCACCAAGTTGTTTCGGTATATTTAAGCCTACGAAGCCATCCAATTAGGCTTAACATGGGTATCAAAATTTTGATGCATTTTTTTTTTCTCGTTTTATGTGTCCTGCAAGCTCGAAGAAGTTTTTTTTTTTCACTTACTTGTACAGCTGAGAATATTTCTGTACTGTCGTGTTGGGCATGATTCCGATTAGGTCATAAAAGTCACGTGCTTTTGGAAGTCCACAGTACTCTCTGTAATAGTTATAACCAGGGTTACCGTGTTCCCGGGAGCGCTGTATGTTGAGAGCTGCCAGATCCATTCCAAACCTCTCGCCAGGTTTCTCGAATAGGTGATTAGTTACCTAATAATAGTAGTAATTTAATATAAAACAGAAATATGTTAGGTTTAATGTACAGTGATATTAGGAATATTAATTCAAAAACTATCATAAGGTACACATGTTTATTATTATTTCGTTTGTCGTTATTCATTATCAGTAAAAAGTATAATTATAGTCATCATTCCGGGCTATCAAAAAGACCACAATTCATCGACTTATTGGTTGAAGACTCAAATAATCAACCTACTTCAGTGGTCACTTCAGGATCCATCCTGTTAGACTGTTGGTTTACTAGTCCCATCAAAAATGAGTCGATGATACCCGGCTTGTATAGATCGTATGGTTTTCTCAATTGCAAGGACAAACGAATGGACTCTATTGGAAACAACGACAGCTGTTTTAATTACAGTCGTATTTCGCTACTTCTTTGCGTGTAAAGATGGCTGTCTGTTAACGACATTTGCCTTAAGAAAATCTAAGCCTAAATCATTTTCCATTTACTTTGAAGAAGATCTGTTTCTCAGGCTTTAATTGCGAACTTCCAAAGACGCGGAGTCATGAGCAAAGTGCTTTATTTGTATACACAAATGTATAAAATGATGAGAGAAAAAAAAAAGAAAAGAGCAATTTTGAGCCGTGAAATGAAAAACGTACCAAGTTTGTCATGGAACTTGTTATATCTCTCAGTCACATCGGGGAGCAGACTGTGACCAAATCTGAAAGCAGATGTTTGAAAAGCTGATCGAACACCGGCGTTGATTTTTGGGTCATACCCATCGTAATAACCCTGAAAACAAATTGTTAATTACAAGGATTATTCCATCCAAAAACTGTATTTAGCGAAATATACTAGATTTATAACATCTCAAAAATACTTCTTTTAGAATATGAGTAATATTTTATGCTGTTAAGCGGTAGGTTGGATAATGGACTTTCTGTGGTATGCCCATCGTGGATATCAAAACTTAATTTTTAGAGTTATAAGCCCTCGTCATACTATTGAACCACGGGGGGGGGGGTGATCAGAACTTTGTAAAGCGTCAAGAATATTGTTTGTTTTGTTTTGAATTTTGCCCAAAGTTACACGAGGGCTATCTGCGCAAGCCGTCCCTAATTTAGTGTAAGACTAGAGGGAAGGCAGCTGGTTGTCACCACCCGCCGTCAACTCTTGGGCTACTATTTTACCTACGAATAGTGGGATTGACTGCACATTATGACGCCCCCACGGCTGAAAGGGCGAGCATGCTAGGTGGGACGAAGATTCGAACCTGCGACCCTCAGATTGCCAGTCGAGTGTCCTAATCACCTGGCCATGCTGGGCCTCGCCAAGAGTACGATTCTGGTAGACGTATAGAGAACAACGGGTTGATTGTTACATTTAGAATATTATTTTATTTGAAAATCTATTAAAATGTACCCAAAACTGTTGGTATCGGCCTTTTAAAAATCAATAGGACATTATAATCCAAATGCATTAAAACGTAACTTATAATTATTGATGTTTCCTCCCTCTTGTACGATATTCATTTAAGTGTAATTCACTCTAATCCAAGTATATTTTATAGCATTCCTCAATGCTTGTGGACACGTAATAACATTTTGAAAGTTATTGAGTAGTTTGTTATAATATAAGAACACACGTGAGATAGAAGTTCTAGGCCGTATTTCCTCATCATCTCAGTTCCAAGGATTGTAGGAACGAACTCCTTGTACGTAATGTGTTGCAGCTCGGCGATGACAATATGGCGCGTTTCTTGGTAGATCGTTTCGTCATCCCAGTGAGGATTAATCTGTCCTAAGGCTTCAGCGATTCTGTTATGTTCTCTCATCCATATTGTGTGCATTACAGACAACACCAGCTGCTCGTTTACTCGTTCATCACCTGAGCAATTACGTAGTTTAATTAATTTGATGAAAATATTTACTTTAATTTAGCACTCTTCTGAAAATAACTGTATATATTTTTCATAAAATGATTCCAATAAAAGATAATTCAAAACTAATTTATTATCTTTATCCTACTATTGTTTTAAATGAGGAGTCACAAATTTCAATAGTCAGGTTTATATCAGAGAATTCAAGTAACATCTCATTGAAACACACAGAAAAAATTTAATTTTTTGACACCAATTTTACGTCAATGGGGTCAAGGAAAACAAAATGATGGGCTTTTAGTATGTTTTAAATTTTTTACTTTATGATTCTATTTTAATATTTTGACTTTTTTATACAGTATTTTTTCTGAAAAAGAAAATATGTATATGTAACCTATTACTGAAAAAAGCAAAACACGACAGTTTTCTTATCATTTGTCATAATTTCAAGTCCAAACTTTTCAACGTTGAAACTAGTCATTAAAAGACAAACATATTCATACAATGCTTTATAACATATCAAAGTCTGTAAGTAATACAAGTTGAAGAGGGGTTGAAATGTGAAAGATGCTACTTGAACAGTAACTACGATAGTGGTTTTGGTCACCGATCTTACCAACCTTCTTTTAAGTAAATTTAAAATCAAAAGACCACCTACCGGCATCAAAGCAATAAACATTTCTTGGCCTAGCAGAGCAACCCACATCCGGATCAACTGTCTTCATGGGTAGGATATCTTTTAGGCCGAGTTCTCGGTAGAGTGGAGCGGATTTCAAAAAACCTGTAAGTGGACAGGTCCCATTTTATCCTTCTGGCTATTTATTTTATCATTAAGAATGTACTCATCATTATTCATCGGTTAATTAGTTTTGGACAAAAATCAAGGACTTTAAATTATTTGAAAATATTAAAATCGTTTTTGTTAAAAACCACTTTAAATCAACACTGATGTCATTGAGCTAACTACCATTTGATAAATAGCTTTAACGACGCCAATAGCTTTAAGATATAGATTGTTTGTTTGTAGTTAAGCACAAAGCTACACAATGGGCTATCTGTGCGCTGCCAACCACGAGTATCGAAACCCGGTAAGATATAGAAAGCCTTTTTTCTTTCTTTTTTAATGTCTAACACAGATGCGCTAGGCTTAATTTCGGAATAAATTTACCTACCTGTGGTATCGAAGAGTAGAAAAAAAATCAAAAGTTAGGGCGAAGAGTAGAAAAAATCGAAGGTTAATGGAATATTGTATTTTTGTAAGGCTTCTAGCCCCCCAGTGGCACAGCGGTATGTCTGCGGACTTACAACGCTAGAATTCGGGTTTCGATACCCATGGTGGGAAGAGCACAAATAGCCCATCGTGTAGCTTTGTGCTTAATTACAAACAAACAAACTATGGCTTCTATCTTGTATCTACTTAGTTCAACATGAAAGTAGTAAAAATTGGATCGAAAAGTTTGAAGTTTCACCTACTCACTATTGGCCCGGCATGGCCAGGTGGCTAGGGCGCTCAACCTCGCAATCTGTGGGTCGCGGGTTCGAATCCCCGTCACACCAAACATGCTCGCCCTTTCAGATTATTATTAATGATTGGGACTACCGTGTGTGTGTGTGTGTATAACTAGCTTTGTATGTTAAATAT